AGTTTTTTTAATCTGTAAAATACAATTTTTACTGGATTTTTTCTTTTAAAAGTTTTTAGAAGAAAAGAAAACATGCGAGATTTTATCTTAAGATGAAATCAACGTTTATTGTAAAATGTGGCAGATTTAATTAATAGCAAATAGTTGAACTTGGTAAAGCTAATTCAGCTACTTCTACAGTACAATTCACACTAAGGGAGTATTTATTTTAAACTATCCATACTAGCTCAATTACTTCTAGCTTTTCATTAGTTTCGCCCTCTGGCCTAATTCAATTCGACCTCTCTCTAATTCATAAATTCCTAGCTCAGTTAAACTCTTAAAAGGACAATTTTTCAAAGATAGTTTTCAGAATAAATAAGTACATCTAGGATATATTGGTTCCAAATAATGCTTCAAACTAGACTTAAAAGAAGAACTGATATTTTTGACATTTTCTTGATGAATGTTTAAACTGGATAGTTTCAGAACAATTTAATATAAGAGAACAGAACTAAAAGTTTACTACAATTGTTCTGTATAATAGAATAAATCAAACTCTAAGTTAAACCCACAAATTTGATTAATTACGTAGGAAATAGATGTTTAAAAGGACTGTATATGTAATTTAAAATTCAATTCAAAAAAGCACTCTTAAAAGCTTTGTTAGTTCAAGAATGAATGATAACCATGTTATTAACTTTTAAAACTTTTTAATATGTACTACAGAAACAATGAATAAAATTATCAAGATTACACATATTGTTTGATAGATAATATCATGCACATTCGTTTAGTACCAATGTGAATCAGGCATGCCCCTATTTTTTAAATGAAGGGTTATCTCAGCACCATCTGAACAACATATTTATTAACCTTGACCCTCAAACCTTGTAAGCTGACCCCAAGTCTGACCTTGAATATTCTCAGGCTTAATCGCTTGGATTAGTTTGGATTCGCTTGGTTGCAACGTTTTGGCGAAGATTCGCACTGTTTGTGCAAAACCTATAAATTACATATTTGGGGCAGACAGGGGGGGGGCAGAAGGATGCAGACAGGGGGGGCAGAAGGAGGGGTGGGGAAAAGAGAGGGTATTATATGTCGCTGCTAACAGGCACGTCGGATTTATTTTTTGACGGGGGGGGGGGGATATTTTTTAGTTTTAAAGGAATTGAACACATGCAACCAACTCTAATCTTCAAATCCCTTTATCTTAGCAACCTGCAGGTATTTAAAACTTTTTATACTGGACTTTACAGAATTGATAATCTAAAATATTAAAAGATTTATGACATTAGGTTGCAAAGATATAAAAAACAGTATTAAGAGTTTGAGGCATGTATTAATTTCCTTTGTACTTTATCAATTTGATACTGTTTATATCCCGTAAATCTCCTTCCGCATCCTTTACCCCCCCCCCCCTTCTGTTTACGCCTACTGTCACATTTCACATTGCAAAAATTCTGTCTCATTTTTCAAATTAAATGCATTTTGGGTCAATGCCTCCCCATACTCTCCGTCCAGAGACAAATGCAGTAGAGGATAATTAATTGTAGAGTTTACCCCCATCCAGTCCATTGAATCATAAAATGTAAAAGAAAATAACTTTGCATTAATCCCCATAGACAATAATGAATAAAGTTTAAATTGTAAAAGTTTGAAAAATATACAGAAAAGAAAACTAGCAGAATGGATCAAAATTGTATTAAAGCCGTAATGTCAAACTGATAAAAAGAAAATTCATAAAAAAACAGACCTACAAGAATGTTGCAAGTTAAAAGAATGCTTAATAAATTTTCCATAAACAATTTTTGTTAAATCCAGTGATGTAAATCTGCGAAATATTATTTTTTTATAATGGACGAAACAAACAGTGCTTTAAAGTAAAGTAACATTGAAAAGCTAAAATTATCGAAAAGGAATTAATTTTGCCACAAAGTCTTATTTTCAAATCTCGATATCTTTGCAACCCAATGTGGTGGACCTTAGATATGAATTCTGTTAAATCAAATAGTTGTTGGAAACAAGATTGCAAAGATATCGGGGTTTGAAATTTGAGTTTGAGGCAAAGGCTCAAGTCCATTAGCTTTATTAAAAACTCCAGGATGCGAGAGTGAAGTAGAAGAATGTATTGAAGCTTTTAACGCTGAAAACACAATTTAATGTAAATTGACCATAACGACATTTATCCAAAGAGAAAACAGACATTTTTCATCAGTATTGCGGTCAGTTCATTTCCCCCTCGTCAACCCTCCCCCTCCCTTACCTCCCCCTTCCCCTCCCTTCCCCTCCTCCACTTCCTCTTCACATAATATTGTTGTTTTCAACAAAATATTTCACAACTTCTGGCTAGTATCTGTTTTAAATGCTGAGTTGCGTTTCTTATAATAATAAGCTTTATATAGATTAGAAACAGTGCTTAAGAGGGACTTTAAGCGGAATTTCAGAGGACCCTTATGCCAAGATGGCAATGCCTGATTCACAACAATGCCTTTGTAACCTTTATCTAATCAATAATGTGGAGGATATTGAAGTTTTTCTAGGTTTGAAAAGTGTTTTGAGAACTACAATTGAAAAAAATCAGTTTTGAAAATTTTAAACATTGCTATCGTAATTATCATTTATCAGACAAAATCTTTTCAGGGGGACCCTTGTGAATCAAGCATTGCCATCTTGAATTAAAGGATTACACTTTTTCATTTTCAAAGCACAAATCTGAAGTATTGCTTTGTAAAGATCGGCATAAAACTTGCCTTTTTGCTCATTAAATTGCAAGAATAAATTAAAAAGAAAGAAAATGTGTTGGCTGAAATTTTGCTTTTGTAAAGGAAATTGGGAACCGGGTCAGTTCCGGAATTAAAATTTTTTTTTTTTAATTGAATGGATCCAGGTTCCGGATCCGAATCAAAATGACATTAAAGGGAGTGACCGGTAATTAATGATAGTTGAACTGAGAATTTTTTAGGATTCATATGAGACATATAAAACGTTTTAATGATGTAAAATTACTGAGTGTGAATCTTACATTTTTTGTCCTCGTTATTTGATAATTTAAAAAATCGATTCTCAAAACGTACCCACCCAAATGGATGACTTTGAAAGTTGACTTTGCGATCAAACTCAGTAATTATACATCATTAAAACGTTTTGTATGTCTCAAATGAATCCTAAATAATAAAACTACATTCTCAGTTCAACTACTGTAATGCCAGTCACTCCCTTTAACTCTAAGCATTGATAAGAAACATATGTTCGATCAAGTCATCTATATAGTATTCTATAAATATATTGTTAAATTGTTTTTTCATTTAAAAATACTGATTTATCAAAGGTTTTGAAACAATCTAAAGTCGTTTTTCTGACAATAGACATAATTTTACTTACCCCCCTCCCACCCCTCGTCTGTCAGAAAAACTTTTAAAAATTGACAAAATTCAAGATTCTGTGAAAATTAGTCTTAGTTCATCTTAATATCAATTAATTTCATAAGTTCAGGTACTTTCAATAGAATATATTGTGAACCTAAAGTATCGTAATGTAATAAATAATTAAATTTTAATTTTTTAGTTGGTAATTCTTGCAACGTTTAAAGAAATAATAAGAAAGATGTCAAGCTTCTAGGTACTCGGAAGCAAGTTCTTCACTCGTCAAATGAATCCAACCACTCTCCAAAGTTTCCGCCCCCTGTATGAAAAAAATGTTAAGCTGCAAGTTGACTCTTCAAAAGTTTCCAACCCCAGTATGAAAAAGATGTTAAGCTGCAAGTTGACTCTTCAAAAGTTTCCAACCCCAGTATGAAAAAGATGTTAAGCTGCAAGTTGACTCTTCAAAAGTTTCCAACCCCCGTATGAAAAATATGTTAAGCTGCATGATGACTCTTCAAAAGTTTCCGCCCCCTGTATGAAAAAGATGTTAAGCTACTAGGTTTGTGAAGTTTATGTTTCTCCGACCCAGACCTTTATAACCCCGTAAACTAGATCTAAGGACCTACTCTACACACACCAAAAATCCGGGGGGAATATTTTACCCAAAAATTTGAACAAAAAGTAAAAATGCCGAAGTTCCAGTATTTTTGTTTGTCAAGTCAAAATTGTTAAACAAATTCAAAATTTATGAAAATACATACACTGTTTTTCATACATAAAAATTGTTTGAAAAAACTAAAATTCATAAAATTGGGTTACATATTGACCCCTGAACTATATTGACATGAACATAAAGTAGCTGCAATAACAAGACAATTCACCTATATATAGATATAAAGAGATATATGTGTTCTAAATACAAATTATTTAGGTGTACGGCAAGCACTTTGTGCTATAAACAAATCTACATATATAAACTAGTAATCTCTGCATGTCTATTTGTTTGTTTCTATTTCCAATCATAACTCAGGAACCACTGGACCGACTTGCTTCAAATTCTAATTGGAAAACTTGAACCTTGAGGGTTCCCAAGCTAGTTGTGGGTTCCCAAGGTAGTTGTGGGTTCCCAAGCTAGTTGTGGGTTCCCAAGGTAGTTGTGGGTTCCCAAGCTAGTTGTGGGTTCCCAAGCTAGTTGTGGGTTCCCAAGCTAGTTGTGGGTTCCCAAGCTAGTTGTGGGTTCCCAAGCTAGTTGTGGGTTCCCAAGCTAGTTGTGGGTTCCCAAGCTAGTTGTGGGTTCCCAAGCTAGCTGTGGGTTCCCAAGCCAGTTGTGGGTTCCCAAGCTAGTAAGAATAAAAAAGGAAAAAATTGTCATAAATCCTGCAAAGTCCTTGAATGCGATGCATCTGTGCTACACAAACAAAAGCGTTGTTTTTATGACAATGTTTATTTTTATTTTGCATTTTTAAATTTTTAAATAGGTAATTTTTAACCTTTCTTTGATACATTTTCTGTCACGGCTAGAGGCGTACTTAAATATAGTTAATTTGGCGTGTCTAGATACAGCAAGGACATACTTGGATTTAGTTAGTTTGGCGTGTCTATATGCAGAAAGGACGTACTTGAATTAAGTAAGTTTGGCGTGTGTTTCCCTCCTACCTGGTTGTTTGAATAAATCTTCTATAAAAGAATGGAGATATGGGAGGAGCAGAACAAGCCCGCCCATCTCCAGGATTCAGCTTGGACTGCCCCTGCTCTACACCTCTATCCCTGAAGCTTTTAGTTCTAGGGAGGGGTGTTGGGGGTAGCTCCCTACTACTGTGGGAGGGAGTGATAGGAAGCTCCCTTAAACTAGTTGTAGGGAGCACTGTTATGGAGTCGTATTGTACTTTATGATTAAAATCGTTTTCATATTTAAACCGTTTAGTATCTTTTTCTAAAACTTTATCTAGACTTTTGACAGCGTTCTCTAATTGAAGAATAGCACTGTTAGACTCATCACTTTTACTACTGGAGTATCCATCTATACTTTCATAGTTACATTCATAGATGCCGTTGTCTGTACATAAACCATGACGAGGGAAGTACGGACCAAGGGAAGACGACCTGTTCTGTACATGAACATTCGCCATTTTGTTGGCAGTGTATTGGCAGTGTTGGTTGACAGCGTTGTTGTTTACCAAGTCAGAAATACGAGTTTTAGCAGTTGCAGGGTTCTTAGTGTAGGAGGATATAACATTGTTTTCATCTACAGGAGCCATAGACTTGAAGAGACGAGATCGTAGTCTGTATCCTAGAGAACTAGAGGATCTTCTCACAGGAGGAGTAGGAGAAGGACTAGAGGATAACCTAGAGACTACGGAACATTGTTTTTCAGAAGGTTGGGTTATAGGAGAAGGTTCTAGTATAGGTTGATTGGTGGGTTCTGTATGAGCAAGAATATGTTGGATTTTAGCTTTTCTCGGAGCAAGGACGGGTTGGTTTCTAGCCTCTATGAGGGCAAGGACGGGTTGGTAAATTGATCCTCTAGGGTTGTATTCCTCTCCACTACTACACACATACTGGAGTAATAGTTCTCTAAGTTTACCCACACAAGCAGGAGGACAGGAGCTGCCGGCCAACTTGATCACTCTCCCAACCTCTCCAATCCTCTCCGTTCTCCCAACCTCTCCAATCCGTTCCGTTCTCCCAAACTCTCCAATCCTCTCCGTTCTCCCAATCTCTCTAATCCGTTCCGTTCCCCCAACCTCTCCACCCTTCTCTATCCCAACTTCTCCGTCCTTATCTTCCCAAACCTTCTCCTTAGATTCAAAGGTTTTATCCATATCCTCCGTGGCAGTATCTTTTTCATCCTTATTTATCTCAAACTCATCATGAACCACTCTCCCAATCATGAAATCTAAATCCATAATCCTTCTCCAATCCTCTTCAACCCAATTCGGATCCAATTCCATGCTTTTCTCCATATACCTTATATCTGATTTTATTCCCATGTTTCTATGCCAGGTATATTAGATCTAGGTTTCTCCATGTACAATAGAACACTAGGACCATGACAGGCATATTTAAACCAACAATTCTGAAATGAAACACCGCGATGATATTAAGATGTTTGGTGAAAAAGTGTGTTTGTTTAGTTTTATTGCACCGTGTGACGAGCGCCGTAGTTTTTGCAGGAGAAAGAGATAGGGTCAAGTTTCACAACATAGAACACCTTTTTATACTAGGTTAATTAGGGGACTTGATAACATTTACAACTACTTCAACCTTATATTTTAATTTTTATAATACATTCTTTTAATCCTATGTTCTCTCCATACAACTATTCCATCTTCTGTTGACTTCCTCCGACTCCTTCAACCGACCTACAACTAACTTCAACGACCTCCAACTTCTGTTCACTTCCTCAGACTTCCTTTAGCTCCCTTCAACCACCTCCAACTCTCCTTCCACCTTCCTCCAACTCCTTCCAACTCCCTCCAACTCCTTCCAGCTCCTTCCAGCTCCCTCCAGCTCCCTCCAGCTCCCTTCAAGTCCCTTCATCCCCCTTCAACTCCCTTCAACTTCCTTAAACTCTCCCTCCTGCTCCCTTCAACTTCATTTAATTCCCTTAAATTTCCTTCAACTTCATCCAATTCCCTCCAACTCCCTCCAAGTCCCTCAAACTCCCTTTAACTTCCTTTAATTCTCCCTCTAGCTCCCTTCAACTCCATACAACTCCTTTGAATTTTCTTCAACTTCATCCAATTCCCTCGAACTCCCTCCAACTCCATCCAACTCTATCCAACTTCCTTCAACACCTTCCAACTCCTTCCAAGTCCCTCCGACATTTTATATTTAACTCCGACTACCTTCAACTACCTCAAGCTACCACCAGCTACCTCCAACTTCCTCCTACTACCTCCGACTACCTCCAATTCCCTCCAACTCCCTCCAACTCCCTCTAACTCCCTCTAACTCCCTCCAACTCCCTCCAACTCCCTCCAACTCCCTTCAACTCCCTCCAACTCCCTCCAACTCCCTCCAACTCCCTCCAACTCCCTCCAACTCCTGATTGTAGAATCCCCCATACTTCCTTTACTTCTCCCCCTGCTTCGCTGAAGAACAAGAATGTTCTCTTTTCACGAAAAGTTCAATTACCCGAAACTTTGTTTATTCAAAGGATTTTTTCAACTTTGTATTTTTCAGGATATTTATATTCGCCATGAACTAAATACTGTAAACTCATGGATGTATATCCCGCCCCTCCCCCCCTAGTTATCTCCTCTTTACAAATAAGTTGCTTGTAATTCAATCAGGGTATAAAATGGGAATTTATCTTTTTTTCTGTAACAGATTATTTTATAATTTATATTTTTTTTAAATGTATGTATGTCTATGTATGTATGTCTATTCAAGTATGTCTATGTATGTATGTCTATGTCTATGTATGTCTATGTCTATGTATATCTATTCATGTATGTATGTCTATTCAAGTATGTCCATGTATGTATGTATGTCTATGTATGTTTGTCTATGTATGTTTGTCTATGTATGTTTGGCTATGTATGTATGTCTTTGAATGTTTGTCTATGTATGTATATCTATGTATGTATGTCTATGTATGTCTATGTATGTATGTCTACGTATGTATGCCTATGTATGTATATCTATGTAAGTCTATGTATGTTTGTCTATGTATGTCTACGTATGTCTATCTATAAGTCTATGTATGTATGTATATCTATGTATGTCTATCTATGTATGTCTATCTATGTATGTCTATCTATGTATGTCTATGCATGTATGTGATACAGTTTTGCATGAATAAAGAACACAGTAAGGATGATTACTCCAGGAGAACTGACAAGAATAGCTTTCGTCCCGGCCCAACTCAACACAAACGAATATTACAACAAATGGAACCTGTACAAAATATCAGAAATCATAAAATTGACATCAAAACTTTCCGCTCCGACGCGTATACAACAGATTAAGATATAAGCTGGAAATTCCTTGTAAATCCTAAACTGCTTTTTGGGAACAAGTATGCTGTGCAAAAAGTATATTTTAGGCAAGCTAATTATCTGTCAGATACTGTAGATTCTTCCCACACTGATTCCTATTTATCCAGTACTATCAGACATTTCTTAATAGGTTGCAGATACAGATATAGATAGGAACTATAGGTAAATAGGTCGGAGATAAAGGTATAGAAAGGAACTATAAGTAAATAGGTTGGATATACAGGTATCGATAGGAACTATAGGTAAATAGGTTGGATATACAGGTACAGATAGGAACTATAGGTAAACAGGTTGGATATACAGGAATAGATAGGAACTATAAGTAAATAGGTTGGATATACAGATATAGGTAGGAACTATAGGTAAAAAGGTTGGATATACAGGTATAGATAGGAACTATAGGTAGAAAGGTCGGATATACAGGTATAGATAGGAACTATAGGTAGATAGGTAGGAGATACAGGTAAAGATAAGAACTATAGGTAAATAGGTCTGAGATACAGGTATAGATAAGAACTATAGGTAAATAGGTTTCAGATGAAGGTCGGAGATACAGGTATAGAACTAAAGTTTAGGTAAAAATGTAATTATTTTTTTCAGAAAAACAAAAGAAAAACCCGAAAAGTGACAAGGCTTTAAAGCAGGCAAAATTTGAGTTCTCAGTGTGCAGATTCAACTTTTTAAATAAAATTTGTGAAAATTGTCGATGATAAATAGCTTTCTTTTATACTTATGTCATAATATCATCGAGAACAATGAAATAGGTTTTTATGGTTACATGAGGGGGGGGGATTGGAGTCAGGTGTGTGAAGACAAATATTTAAACTTTCACTCAACAGATAAATATATGTCAAAGGGGGCGGGGCAAGGAGGATTAGAGTAAAGGAGATGAAGAGGCAGGAACAAGGCAGGAAGTTAAGTGGAAGGAAAAGGGCAAGAGATCAAAAGGTAGAAAGAGATCAAAAGATCAAGTGACAGGAACAGACCAGGAAGTCAAGTAAACGGAAAGAGCAGGAAAAAAGGTGGTCGGAAAAGGGCAAGAAGTTAAGTTACAGGAAAAAGGCAAGAGGTCAATAGGCAGAAAAAGATAAAAAGGTCAAAAGGCAGGAACAGGGTAGGAGGTATAGAGTTTAAGAGGTATAGAGTTAAAGAGGTATAGAGTTAAAGAGGTAAAGAGTTAAAGAGGTAAAGAGTTAAAGAGGTAAAGAGTTAACGAGGTATGAAGAAACTAGCAAGCCAAGAGGCAGAAACATTTCAGAAGGTCAGTCTTGCAAGTCGCAGTTTGAGGAGTTAAAGTTTGATTTCTGTTCTGAACAAATATTTAAAATATGAAATATCAAATGTTAAAGCCATGATACATACATCCTTTCATTATACATAGATACAAAGATAAAAACATTAAAGTTTGTGGTGATTGTTCAGATCTTTTAGTATAAGATTGTCACTGTACATTAATAAAAAACAAAAAATATGGTACAAATAAATCACAGATCACTGTCCAGTGAACACTGTAAAGCAGTTACTAACACTGTGGATGCAAATTAACTAAAGCATGCAGGGGGGGAGGGGGGAGGAATGTATTTCTTCCCTAAAAAAATCCAACATTCAAAATCAATGTTTAACGCTTTAAACACAATGATGCCAAAATTAGCAGAACTTCTTACAAACGGTTAAAATGTGTTTATTATTGTTTTTGTGAGAATTAATCTTATGTTGAGAAAATATGTTATTGTTTATCCCTGTCAATTAATTTTACTTCGGCGGGAAATGTCAACTTGGATTAAATTAGAGAAGGACAAGGAATGGACGATGGAAGGACGACAGAAAGATACATACATAGATTAAGGCGAAATAAATTAAACAAGGCTTAAAAGGGACGATAAGAGGACTATTATTGTTAAAAGGACGAAAGACAGATAAATATTATGGACGGACGACAATTCTAGAAAGATCATCGGACGACAGATGTATAAAACGATAGAGGTATCAAAACCACAAGTAGATTTATCAATATTGGAGTTGGAACAAGGCATGGATCTTGTCATTTAGGGGCAACATAAAGATTTAAAGTTGTAAAAAGCGGGAACAAGTTTTCAATCTAAAATGTGTCAAAGGTTTAAATACTTTTAAAAATGAGAAACTTTTTAATTTTTATTTTCTTTTTTGTCCTTGGTCCTGTATCTCCTAGATGAAAGTTACCAGATCCTAGATCCCATGTCATGTATCCTATATCCCGATCCGTATATTCTAGATCCTAGATCCCAAAATGTATATCCTAAATTCAAGATCCCAAGTCGTTTATCCTAGATCCCCAAGATACCAGATCCTAGATACTAGATCCTAGATACTAGATCCTAGATACTAGATCCTAGATACTAGATCCTAGATACTAGATCCTAGATACTAGATCCATGATGCTAGATCCTAGATACTAGATCCTAGATACTAGATCCTAGATACTAGATCCATGATGCTAGATCCTAGATACTGCATCCTAGATACTAGATCCTAGATACTGCATCCTAGATACTAGATCTTAGTTACTAGATACTAGATCCTAAATACTAGATCCTAGATACTGCATCCTAGATACTAGATCCTAGATCCTAGATACTAGATACTAGATACTAGATACTAGATCCTAGATCCTAGATACTAGATCCTAGATCCTAGATACTAGATACTAGATACTAGATACTAGATCCTAGATTTTAGATCCTAGATCCTAGATACTAGATCCTAGATACTAGATACTAGATCCTAGATTCTAGATACTAGATACTAAATCCTAGATACTAGATGTTAGATCCTAGATACTAGATCCTAGATACTAGATCCTAGATACTAGATCCTAGATCCTAGATCCTAGATACTAGATACTAGATCCTAGATCCTAGATTCTAGATTCTAGATTCTAGATCCTAGATACTAGATCCTAGATCCTAGATCCTAGATCCTAGATCCTAGATACCAGATACCAGATCCTAGATACTAGATACTAGATACTAGATACTAGATAATAGATTCTACATACTAGATACTAGATCCTAGATA